AAAAAAACTGTGTTTGGCACTTGTATTTGTATTTATTTTGCCTTGTAATATATATTTTTCAACATTTCTTCTGTGGATATCATGTGCAGGTTTTTTGTCTTTCCTTTAATTTGACTTTTTTTTTTTTTTAGCTGATACACCAAATTAACATGGTATATTAACATATACACAGGTTTTTTTGGTGCAGTCATCTGATAAGGTCTTTTTTGACCAGCATAGTAAGAAATAAAGTGATAATCCAATACTGCAAAGGTGTGACTACTGCTATTGGATTTATGTTTGATGATTTACTTGCCTTCATGTGTTATTCGTTTGGTTTTGGTCTGGTTGCAGACTGAATCACAGCAGTCACAGATAGAATCTTGACCAAACACTGAGATCCATCTAACAAATGAAAAGTTTTAGTAGAACAATTGTGGTAAAAGAGGTTTTGTTTATGATAGAAAAAAAAGTTATTCATGATATTTACAACACTCAGCAACATATGTTTAGTCTTGTTAACCTTTTATCAGTGTGGCTGTAAAAACAAGACTTCTGCATTGGACTAGGTCCACCACCAGAAACAGAGAGCTCACAATGGAGTGCGATCTACAATAAATCACACAGAGAACTTAATGAATCACACAAAGAATGAATGCAACACAATGCACAGTACAGCACAGTTTTGTCTTCATAAATATGTCAACCGTGAGAAAAGAATCAACACAAACACACCTGTGCATCTGGAGCCTCAATGAACTGGAAAGCACCAAAGGAGAACTGAACAACATTGTCTGCCCTGGAGAACCTGAATCTTGAAGCACCTGGATTTATCCGGCTTTCCCGTAAACACCTGGATGTGTGAGAGACAGTGTTTTGTGTCTGATAAATGTTCCACAAAGTCACTGTTTTGCTCCACTCACCCATAATTGTCTATGATGCTGTGTTTGGATGCTTGACTCAAAGTGTTGACTGTAGCTGCATAACAGCTGTTGATAAAAAGCTTGACCCCTTGGTAATTATGTCGCATGGAGACCTGCACATTCACCTGCTGACCCAGCAGGTACACAGCAGACCTGACTGGAGAAGACCAGGAGTCTACAGTATAGATACATGAGACCATCAGCATCCTTTTACAGTGCTTGGTTTACAGATTAAATCAGGGTTAGGTCAAAAACATATTTGAAAGTGTGGTAATGTATAAAAAGCTTCTGGGCAAGTTACAACATGCATTGTAATGGCAATCTTTGGAATGCAACTCTTCTAATCTCCTCTGTTGCATGCTTACAGTGCATATATATTAGAGTTGATCCATGAAGTGCCTGCCTGTTATTGCAACTACTTGCCTTTTTAACCTAACGCAACTGACAACACAATTAAAATATTGGCTTTGTTTAGTAAAGTTCATATTCATATGCATATTCATAAACATTAAAGAGCAGGTCATATGGGTTTTTGAAAAATATCTCTTTTGCAGTTTATAACATGGCTATCCTTAAATGAAAACAATCTGCAAAGTTGTTAATCAAAAAGTGCATGATAAATAAAGATATTGTCTCTCAAAAGAGAGAGTCGATTCTGAATCGCCTTAACGAGTCGTCATATTTTCGAATCTTTTGCCTGTTACCGCAAAAGCATACGTCACTGTGTAACAATTTTGCATAAACTCTGCCCGCGAGTCTGACCTGCCCACAAACACTTCCGCTAGTTAGTGTGTTTACATCATGTTGAGAAGACGCTGTGTTCAAGGATACCACAGAAATACAATTCAAACCTTTTGTTGTGTGCATGTCATTTTACCAAGGACTGCTTCTCTAATCTTGGCTTTTATCTTCGTTGGCTTCTTCTATCTTCTTAATTTGGACTAACAAGCTCTCCGAAGCACAACCTGTAAGTACGATTGATAGGTTATGTGTACATTTTCAATTGAGTGCTTAAAATATCACGTTTTTGTGCTAATATGTGATGTATACCTAGTGCAGCTTTAGGTTTCCAGGTAAAGCAC